GATGCTGCTTGGCCTGCTGTGTTCATCCAGCCCTGCACCTTGTTGTCTCGGATTCTCCAGCATCTGCAGTTCCTACTATCTCTGATAGAAAGACCCCATGATGTTTTTCGAAAAGAGTCAGGTTCTCCTTGTGGTGTTTATCTGTTCTTGAATGTTAACTAAATCAGATTACATTCAGAAAGAAATAAGAGAGAGATTAGTTTATATAGAGCTTTTTATGACCTTTGAATGCTCCAATTGGTTTCATAGCCAATGACACACATGTTCGAAATGCAGTTACTATTGTGATGTTGGGAAACATGACGTGATTTTCTATACAGTAAGGTTTACTGACAAAGAGAAATTCCTTTTTTATTCGTTTCTGGGCATTGTTTGCTGAGCCAGCATTTAATGCCTGTCCCTAGCTGCCCTTGAGAAGGTGGGGGTGAGCTGCCTTCTTGCAGACCACTTGCTGTGGGTTGACCCACAATCCCCTTAGGGATGGAATTCCAGGATTTTGACCCAGTGACAGTGAAGGAACAGCGATATATTTCCAAGTCAGAATGGTGAGTGACTTGGAGAGGAACTTGCAGGTGGTGGTGTTCCCACGTACCTGCTGCCCTTGTCCTTCTAGATGGAAGTTGTCATGGGTTTGGAAGGTGCTGTCTGAGGATCTTTGGTGAATTTCTGCAGTGCACCTTGTAAATGGTACACACTGCTGCTACTGAGCGTCAGTGGTGGAGGGAGTGGATGCCTGTGGATGTGGTGCCAATCAAGCAGGGGCTGCTTTGTCCTGGATGGTGTCAAGCTTCTTGAGTGTTGTTGGGACTGCAATCATCTAGGCAAGTGGGGATTATTCCATCACACTCCTGACTTGTGCCTTGTAGATGGTGGACAGGCTTTGAGGAGTTAGGAGGTGAGTTACTCGCTGCAGTATTCCTAGCTTCTGACCTACTCTTGTAGCCACTGTCTTTATGTGGTAAGTCCAGTTGAGTTACTGGTCAATAATAACTCCCGGAATGTTGATAGTGGAGGATTCAGTAATGGTAACACCGTTGAATATCAGATTAATATTAGATTAATCAGATTAATCAGATTAATATTAGATTGTCTCTTATTGGTGATGGTCATAGCCTGGCATTTGTGTGGCACGAATATTATTTGCTACTTGTCAGCCCAAACCTGGATATTGTCCAGATCTTGTTGCATTTGAAGTACGAAGATGAGGTAATGGTTTTGGTTGTTGGTTGAAAGTAAATGTTGGTCAGGTCACTCAGAGAATCTTTTCAAAATAGGGCTGTGTGATCAGTATGTACATTTGCGATGGATGTTGGTTGAATATCTCATTAATAAGGAAGCCTCTCCAACAGTGGAGCATTCCCTCAGTACTGCAGTAGGTCAGTCAGCTCTGTGGTAATGATAACGTTTTCTGCACAAGTTACAAATGTTGTACTTTTCAGCAAATATGTCCAAACATGTACTAACTAATACGCTACACATTTCTCTTAAACTAGAGTGTCGAACTGCCTCAGCATCTAATTGTGCTTTGTGCATTCGACCACCCGTCCTCTCCATGCTGTTGTTCAGCAGGAGAGACAGTGAAGTGAAGAGCCACTTTGTACTTTTCTTACACAATTCACAGTAGTCAGTGCTATAGCAATACTGCTGGAGGAGTCAGGGATCTGGTTTAATCTTTCCACAGCCAATTGTGTGGGGGGAGAGTGAGGAACTAAGTAAAAGCAAGTCACTGAAAAGAAAGAAAACACAAAGTCTGCACAAAATATTAAAAATCAGCTGGCGTAACTTCTAATGTAATTTACTAAACATTATGGTAGTTATGCAACAATTGAAAACACTCCCTGCACTGCCTACTTTCGTTGTTCTCCAGAGCCCAACATCACTGTCTGTGAATCCAGCAACTAGCCTGTCCATGTGCAGAAACAAGCCAGGACGAGGAACAGCACAGGTGTAAGGCAAGACAATATATCCCAGTGTTGGTGGAATGCCTCGCTCTGCACAGACCGCGGAGGTAAGCATTTCTGACCCGCCACAATTGGCACACTCCAACCAAAGAGCTACTCAACCAATCTATGACTCTATGACTCAGTCACCCATGTCCCAGTTCAATTACAAATTACAAATCCAAAGATACACTGTGCTATTTACAACTTCTAGTAATGCCACTATTAAGATTTGTAGAGATAGCAGCATAGGAACAGGAGGAGGCCATTCAGCCCACCTTTGGTCTGTTCTCAGTGCAAATACACAATGAATGCATTTTAACTCTATTTCCCTCTTATGTCTCTTGATAGCCTGACTAAACAAAATCTATCAATCTTAATCTGAAAAGTTCCAATTGTGTCCAGTTGTTTGGGAGAAAGTTCCACTTTTCCACCGCCCTGTGTGCGTACTGGTTTCCCCTCCTCACATTTAAAGTTTGTGCCTTTTAGTTCCTGGTTTTCACCAACTGAGAACACAGTTTGTTTTTTTTTCAAATCCCTTTGTCATTTTAGAAACCCAGTACAGCGCACCCTCAATCTTCAGCATTCAAGGGAACTGGAGCCAAATTGATGTAATCTGTCCTCATTAGATCTCAAACCTCTGTTATCAGTCCGACACAAAACTAATACTCACCAAGTTACACCTTCTCAGGATTGGGCAGTCTTTAATTTGGGAGTAGTCACTTTAACTAGGCTCCCAGCCTCTCCAGCACAACCATAATATGCCTCACCGCTGTCCCTTACCTCCCTCCCCTGT